ATCTTTCTTCTATCATTGACAGTCCCTCTAGGTTGTGGGCTGCTTGCCTGTGTTCCTGAGAAGCATCTACGGTACCAGTCTATAGAGTGTGTTTTCTTTAGTGAATTACCGGTATGTTTACCGGTAATAAACTTGCACTGTTTTATGTATATGTTTGATTACATACAGCCTTGTGACAGTTTTCCTGCATGTCATAAGCATTTGAATATAAATTAAAATGTTAAAATCAAATCTGATATTGTTTTACCTTTTATTTGGTGTGTGGAAGGTGTGCGGAAGAGGGGGTAGTCTTATATGGCGGGTATATAACAAACTCTGTATTTTGAGTGGAAATGTTAGGGGGTCGTCTTATACGCCCAGTCGTCTTATATGCCGGCAAATACGGTAACAGAAAAAAATTCACCACTCCTTCCCCCACTCTGCCTAAATGTATAAAAAACCCACAAAGTCACCCCTCAGGTGAGGCCTTTCTTCAGAATGAGTAGCACAGTCTTTACTGACGTCAGTCCTGCCGGGCTGCGAGGATGCGGCACGATGACTGGAGTCCACGATACATGGGCCTGAGGGGCTGCGACCGAGCCCACCTCCTCCTGCCAGGACTGCACCAACGCCCTCAGGGACAGGCTCTTCTCTGTCCGTTCAGTGTCCAAGGCCACGGACTGTGCGAGGGCTTCAAGCACAAGACGCTGTGGCGAACATGACGTGGAAGCTGACATGCTCTGAGGCGGCTCAGACCCAGCAGGAAACTAGCAATTCTGGATGATCAGTATTCGTCATGGACTATCAGCGTTGGCAAGATCCTGAGAAAGCACCTCGTCATTTTACAGGGAGTCTTCTAACACTGAAGAGAATACTGACATTAAATTTTAAAGAATACTCTGATATACTTATTTACACTTCTTCCTAAAGTTATTTAAACTTCATTAATTCACGTTTCATCTTCACATAATCATAAACTCTAAGCCAACATATTAGGCTGAAACTAACTCTAAGCACAATTTATAACATTTTTAGAATGTCTATTTGATCTTAACAAAAATAGGTATCTTTAAGAAATTGGTAAGGGAAAAGGATGTTTTTCAGGAGACTATTAGAGGGGTTTACATGAAGACTTCCTACCTGCTTGCCAGTTTCTTTAAAGCTGTCAGCTCAAATCTACTGACATGGCTTTTGCTTCCTTCCTGTAAATTCTGTTCTTGAAAACCTGAGAAACAAATTCACTTGATACAATTGGGACCTTAATCCTATCACAATGAACCTACGTCTGAACGGAAACTGAGGTAGTCAGAGTTTATAAGCACTTGACACTTTCTAAGTCAGAAAGGCCTCCTGTCTGCCACCCCCAGATCAGCTCTTCCCCACTCTCCTTCCCTACCTCACTCTCTTTCACCACAGCTGCAGTCTGCTCCATCTTTCTCAGGGAACTGGTTTTGCTAATATGAAGGGTATAACCTGCCAAAGAATATTGACACTTACGCCATTTCAAATTCTTCAGTTCAAGGCTGAATTCTAGCCCACTAATTCTGCATTGAAACCTCAGATTTTAAAAGTCTTCGTTTTTTAGAATATTGTCATAATCTGAGTGACTAAAATGTGCCTCTTAAAATTTTTTACAGGCTCAATGGCCTTCTAAGTCTTCACTGAGTAAACTAGGCAGAATCAGTGATAAGCAACCACTTTCAAGTCTTGAAGAGGAAGGAAGACAACAGCACATTTAGTTACCCTCAGAAACTCAAGATTTGTTGACATTATACTTTATCAAGTTTCACATTTGTGCAGGGAAAACACTGGGCTACCAGATTCCAATCTTAATAAATATATGTAGAAAAATGTCATCTATAATATTTTCTCCAGAAAGTCATTAGTGCAAATATAATTATATCAATAAAAATAAAGCAAAAATATCTTTCAAGTATAAAAAGCACCATGCTCGGAAACAATACTATCTAAATGGCATCACTGCACAACAGTCAAAATATAATCAAACCTATCATGGTAAATCTCAAATATATTCTTAGTCCATAGTATTTTTGGTGAAATTCTTTATACAACTTTGCAGGATGATCCATAATCACAATCAGAATGTAAGTTTAGATTTTTATAGTTTTCTTTAAAAATATACTCTATACTTTTCTCGGATGTTGCACAATTTAAGAGATACATGACACAGGCAGAAAACAGAGCACTGACCTGACACCTTTACTATTAGCTTCTCTTTAGCTGAAGGTGGATACGCTAGAGACCCAGCTTTCACAATGAAAAATACCTTCAATTCAAAACTGCACATTTAAATGAATATTTAAAATTTATGCATTAAAAAAGGCAACTTTCCTTTGCTGGGGTTGCTGTTTGGCCCAGGTCCAACTAACCAGCTGGAATTACTCCTTAGTAATTATGTTGCTTGCTCACTTAGCACAATTTCTTACACGGAGTGCTCAATAGTTATATGCTGAATTAAAGGGCTAACCAATGATTGAATGTTATGTATGTATGAATGTATAAATGAATGAATGCTTGTCCAAGGGCTGTGTTTATAATGTCACAGGACTTTGTTAGCTTTAGAGAGAAAAATTGGGAATCATTTATCATTAAATAATTTAATTAGTAAGTGGGGTTGATAAGCTCCAGAGTAGACTTGCTTCTGTGGAGCGGAATCTACGTGGTAACAGAAGTGCCAAAAGCAGGAGGTAAAGGATATCGCCTCCTTTCAAAGTAAAGGCTATCTTATAACTTCTGAGGATGGAGCCATATGTTGTGCAGTAAAGTGGACCCTATTGGCTGGGCCGTACACCAACCCTCACTTTGCTATTAGTAAACAATTCAGATTATTTTGCTTTGACTTATATTTTTCTTCTTGTATATAAAATAATTTTCAGAACTTCTTCTGAAACAATTCGTAAACCCACGTAAAGACAACTGCATACTTGTCTATCCCAGAATTTCTTTTTATCTTCATTGTTAAAAAAGGAATAGTTCTATTTTTTGGTTGGATTATAGTTGTCATATCTATTATCTGAAACACATACATTTATATTTTCTTCTGTTTGCTTGTCTTCAATATTTTTACAGAGCACATTACTTTTCTCTCTCTGCTTCTATCTCTTTCCAGGTCATTATTAAATGAATGGAGGATACAACAGGACACTGAGCTACAGAGATCTGGGAGTAACAGATGCAGCTGGAAGAGGGCTACCAACACACCATGATTCCATAGTAAACGATCACACAGCTAGTTTGAAAAGGCAAGCATGGCTAAATCATAACATTTAGCAAAACATAATTTTATAAAAGACTTTTTAGAACAACAAGAACAATGATTTAATTGTACCATGTACACTCATTAAATTCAAAATAGGTGTAACAACGATGTACAAACCTCAACTCAATTATTTTCTGTAAGTCAAAGGATAATTTATACTTGTGGGTACAGGATCCACAACTTATAATCTGCAGTAATTAGCAGTTCTTTATTATTGCAGTATTGATGAACTTTCCCATCATTTTAGGTTAATGAGAATGCTGAGGTATGTAATCTGAAAATTTCACCAATATCCCATTTTCAAAGGAAAACTTGAGGACGGTTATGCATCCTGAAAAATAGAGTCTTGATGACTTGGAATTCCTTCCCCTTCTCCAAGCCGAGGCTGTTGGGTTGCTGTGAAGCTCTGCTTCAAGGTCTGACTGTGGCCAACACTTTCAGGCCAAAGTCATGAATGCCCCTTCTGCCATCTGCACAGACTGATACTCACTCAGATTTTGTGCTTTGTTCAGAGGAACATGACACAAAAGAATGCCTTGAGAATTCACATTTCCATTCCTAGTACACACAGAAGAAATCCAGCCAGCAGAGGAAACAGATTGCCTAGCAGAAGCCAGAGGGTGACCACAAGGCTAGAGGAACGGGAACAGAGATCTAGGATTGAAAACAAAAATTGACTTTCTATAGACATTTTTGGAATTTATTATATCAACTAAATACTGACAGATGAATATAGGTGAACAAGGACCACCTTGGAGAGCAGAATCAAGAATGACTTCCTGCCTTGCCGGTGTGGCTCAGTGCTTGAGCACTGACCTATGAACCAAGAGGTCATGGTTCAATATCCGGTCAGGGCACATGCCCGGGTTGTGGGCTCGGTTCCCAGTAGGGGGTGCGCGGGAGGCAGCTGATCAGTGATTCTTTCTCATCATTGATGTTTCTGTCTCTCTCTCCCTCTCCCTTTCTTCCTGAAGTCAATCAATACATATATTTTAAAGAATGACTCCCTAAAACCTAGATATGTAAGGTCAATTTTTTTTGCATTTTTTTGAAAAAGAACAAAATATTTATGCAGGAAGAAAAGAAGATGTACCTACCATATCATGGTTAAAAAATGGCACCCAAGAAGAGAAAGAAGTACCTTCGGCTAGTATCCCAGCATAGTTAAATATGTTACACAGGAAAGTAGATTAATATCTTGGCTACTCTGATATGGGAAGTAGAACTCTCTTCTTTCTTGTCCCCTTTTTTATGGTAATTTGATATAATTTATCATCCCAAATAAGGACATTCTAAGACAAGTTTTGAAATAAATTGCTAATCTCAAGATGGTGCCATGTCAGCAAACTGAAACTTAGTAACTTCCATGTGCTTGACCAGAAAGATAGTATATCTAGTCAGCCAAATGCCAACCAACACGCCAACTCTGGGCTCTATACTTATTTCCTTGTGCCTTGATCTTTCAAAATAAGGTCAGATATGCAACTCTGGCCAGCCAACTTAAGCCGAGTGTTTCTTCCTTGTTTCCTGCTTGTATCCCTTTTCCTTATTTTGCAGTTCTCTGGACTCTTGAGAGTGGAGACTGCTTGTTTCATGAATTGTGAAATAAAATTTGCTTAGATCAAATAAATGTTCTCTTTGATTTTTTTTTTTAAACACAAGGGACGCTATTAACAATTATACCAGGACATAAGGCATATGGACTGTCCCAGGCAAGCCAGGGCATATGGTCCCCAATCTCTAAACAACTACCTATCTATCCACATCCAGCCTTCATCTGGAAACAGAAGAAAAATCTATGGGCTTTGGGCACTAGACGTCCATTTTAATTTAGGCATGAGCTGTTCTCATGGCTAAAACTATTTCCCAAAATAATTCTCAGAAAGGAAAACTTTTTAATTTTGTTGACTGGTTTTTAGAAAGTGTGAGTGTGTGTGTGTGTGTGTGTGTGTGTGTGTTCTCCAGCTCTGTCCACTAAGAGGAAGTAGGAGCAGGTTTGTGTGTGTGGGGTGGGGGGTGGGAGGGAGAGAGAGGGAGGGAGAGGGAGGGGGGAGAGAGAGAAGAAAGAGAGAGAGATTTGTTGTTCCACTTATTTATGCATTATTCATGGTTGTTTCTTATATGTGCCCTGACTAGAGATTGAACCTGCAACCTTAGTGTAACAGGACACCATTCTTAACCAACTGAGCTACCTGGCCAGGGTTGGTAAACATTTTTATAGCAGCCAAGAGACCAGGTCAACTTGACCAGGCTTTATCTTGAGATAAATTGTCCTCTCTAATATATGCTGTCCCCCCAAAATATATACACACACTTTGAATAATTATAAAGTCAATGTTTATTAAAATAAATTTTTTTTCAAAATTGAGTTTTCAGTGATTAAATTATGTATACTTTTGGGACAGACACCCTGCATTTTGACCAATAAAGAACCAATCATGCTTCAAGTCTGACTGCTTAAAATTGGAAAATAGGGCTAGTCTTCAGCTCTAGAATGAACAGAATGATAACGTCACGGCCCTGCAGCCTGTTCTTCTGAGCACCACATATAGTGTGGTAGAAATATTTTAAAAAATTATTTCACTGCATGTAATGCAGGTAAAACAGGAGGAAACTCCTTTTCTTCCCAATGGAATCAGCTGGTAATTGTTAAATCTTACAAAAATCCCACTTTGCCAAGAACAGTCCTTCTCATCAGCATCATCTGCAAACTTGTTTAAAATGCAAATTCTCAGCCTCTGACGTAGATCTTCTGAATCAGAAACTCTGGGGTTGAGGCTTAGCAACCTGTGTTTTAACATGGTTCTGATGCAAGCAGAAGTTTGAGAGACTCTGATCTAGCGCTGCACTGTTCAATATGGCAGCCACCAGCTCTATGTGCTACTTAAATTTAAATGAACTCAAATGAGATAAAATATTTATTTAGTTCCTTAATCAATCCAGTCATGTTTCACACATTCAATAGTTGCATGTGGCTAATGACTACTCTGTTGGGCAATGCAGATTACAGAACATTTTTGTCACCTCAGTCTACTGGGTAAGTTCTGGCCTAGAGCATGAGGTAGAATGGTCTTGGCTGGAATAAGGAATGGAACCTGGAGTCCTGGAGTCTAATAACACAGGCATATCCCTTTATCTCATGATTCTCAATTTGGCCCAAGGAAATGGAGAAGGACTCCCTAAATGACAGGTGGCCTGTTTCCTTTTCTACTGACACTAAAATTTAACAAACTATTAAAACATTAATGACAGCTCTGGAACATCTGTTGTCCTTCAAAAATACTGAACTTTAGCAGGGCCAGTGTGACTCAGTGGTTGAGTGTTGACCCATGAACCGAGAGGTCACCAGTTCGATTCCTGGTCAGGGCACATGCCCGGGTTGCAGGCTTTATCCCCAGTAGGGGACATGTGAGAGGCAGCTGATCAATGTTTTTCTCTCATCAATGTTTCGCCCTCTCTACCCTTCCTCTCTAAAATCAAAAAAAACGTATTTTAAAAAAATACTGAACTTTATGTGGCAGTAATCTTTAAAAAGAAAATATTCAAAGAGGGTATTTCAAAATGAGTTAGAGATGATCAGATTTGGGTTTTGACCTGAACCTCATTATTTATTAGTTGTGGCAGTAGACACATTACACTTAACCTCTTACACCATAGTTTTCTCATGTGTAAAATGATTATTCCTACCTCAGTAGGTTTTGTGATGATTAAATGCAATAATATAGACATAAAGCACTCAGTTAGCATTCAATAAATGGAAACAAAAATAATACCTACAATCTGAAGAGACCAGAAAGAATTTAGAAATAAATATTTTATATTCACTATCTTAGGCAGTATGGAACAACTACCTAATTACACTCTAGCATTTAGAAGTGACAATCAGAAAAAGGAAAAAAGATGAGTTTTACAGTCCAAAAGAAATTACAAATACAAGAAAAAGCTATGTGAAGCTGAGATAAACAATAAAAAAAAATCAGAAGAATGTGGGGAGAGGAATATATTTTCACACTTCCTTTAGAATATTAGCAGTTAATGTTTTAAAGGTATACTAAAAAAAAACTAAATTATTTTAATTTATAAGACATATTAGGATGATTATTTGTCTAATAAGCTTCATCATAGGTTAATTCTAATTTTTAGTATTTCTCATATAAGTACATTTAAAGCATCAAATCTTATTTTTATAAGTTTGGTGGGTCATAAAGACTATATTTTAAAAAGAAATAAACTACTTATCTAAAAGAAATAGCATATGTAAAGTCTGCCATAGTCCCTGGTGCAGAGTTCACTAAGGGCCTAGTGTGTGCTCTATTCACACATTAACAAACATGAGAAATCAGGATATTTTAGAATTTCAACAGTGATACTGTTTTAAAAGCAATGTCTAAAGACATCTATTCTTATAATATTTTATACAGTTTTCAAAATTGTGTAATGACATAGATTACAATGCTTTTTTGAGTATGCTTCCTCATAGAACTGGTTAACAGGGAAAAAGAAATCACATTATAGCACCACAATTTCAGAAGGGTAACTGATGAAGAGGGAACCAGGATAAGTAGAAGTAGAGTCTAAGGTGCAGGTTGGTGGACGTGGAAGGGTTGGGTGGTTTGCAATCTCTACTCCCCACCTCCTTTCCACAGATCCATTTGTCATTGTCATGCTCCAAGGACAGGAACTAATCATTTCATAGCCCTTTGCCCTGGCCTGGCTTTCTCCACATTCCTATACATTCTTTTACTATACTCCTAAGATATTTACCCCTGAACCAGCTGGAGTAACTCTCTCTTTATGAACTAGCAGCCAATGTAATTTAATAATAGCAATAAAAGTAAGTTTCCTACTAACTTACATGAAAGTAAAAGTTAAGAGTATTTAACACTACATATACTATATACCACATCAAAGGGACCAAAGATCTTATATCATTTCAAACAACTCATTGTATCCTCCTATATAATAAAAGGGTAATATGCAAATTGACCCCAACCAGCAGAATGACTGGGAATGACTGGTCACTATGACACACACTGACCACCAGGGGGCAGATGCTCAATGCAGGAGCTGCCCCCTGGTGGTCAGTATGCTCCCACAGTGGGAGCTCTGCTCAGCCACAAGCCAGGCTGACGGCTGCCAGCACAGCGGTGGGGGTGGGAGCCTCTCCCGACTCCTCAGCAGCGCTAAGGATGTCCGACTGCAGCTTAGGCCTGCTCCCCGCTGGCAAGTGGACATCCCCCGAGGGCTCCCGGGCTGCCAGAGGGATGTCTGACTGCCAGCTTAGGGCCGATCCCCCTGGGGGAGCGGGCCTAAGCCAGCAGGTGGACATCCCCCAAGGAGTCCCAGACTGCGAGAGGGTACAGGCCGGGCTGAGGGACTCCCCCCCTGCCCCCAGTGCACATATTTTTGTGCACCGGGCCTCTAGTTACTATTATAACTGCAGAAAACTCAGATGACTGACTGGAGTACTGTGCAGAAAAGAGTTAACTTAGCAGCCCTGAGATCGCCATCCAGGGTCACATGTAGTACATCAAAGCTGTCAGTGCTGCTCCATGAACAGTGATGTGGGCTGGACTGAATGGAAACATTGCAAAGAAACTAGCTGGGTTAGGGTTAAATGATAATAGTGATGTCAGGAAGGAGTGAAAGGTGGCCTGACAACCAGTAGGAGTAAGGAATTAAGATGCTAGATAAAGGAACATAGGGGATTGTCATGGCAATGTGGTTTTGGCTAGTGAATGTTGGAACAGCAGTCTGATTTAAGGAATTTTGTAGTATTCATAAAAAAAAAGCGTGGTTCAACATATAGAGTGTAAACTGAGGACTCAATATTTTGACTCTGGAAATTGTTTTTAATTCCATTGACCTTGTCTGGCACAAAGGGTTCTCTCTGGCACTGAACTGACAGAAGAACTAAAAATTATTGATGTTTTACATCATTACAACCTGAAAACATTTCCAAAATGCAGGGACGGGCTGGCTCCACACTACCACAGAAAGCTCTCACTAACGTGGCAGCGGCACTTAATACGTGTTAGGGTAGCTCCTGTGTCCTTGTGCAAGAGTATAGGTCCTCAACAAAGAATTTAGGGCAACATACGCTGAAGACCATTAAGCTAGATCTGGGAGGCTGCAGTGCTCTCTGAATATGAAGTGCTGGGGGGACAGGCTCCTGTGCTGAAACCAGGTCAGTGGCTGACTGGGATGTAATCTGTGCACTCAAAACTGAGGTGCTGTGAGTGAGAGGGAAATCTATTGCCAGTAACTGAGTTTGGTAAAGGTAGCTGACTAAACTGGTTAACATAGGTGGGAGGCAAATTACTAAATTTGGTTTTCTGAGATGGTTATTAAGCTATTTCTAAAGGCAATTTAAAAAGAGGAGTTCCGCCAAAACCGGTTTGGCTCAGTGGATAGAGCGTCGGTCTGCGGTCTGAAGGGTCCCAGGTTCGATTCCGGTCGAGGGGATGTACCTGGGTTGCGGGCACATCCTCAGTGGGAGATGTGCAGGAGGTTCCAAAAATGTATTTCAACAGTGGAATTGCCTGGCTGGTGTGGCTCTGTGTACTGAACGTTGTCCCATGGACCAAGGGGTCACCAGTTAGATTCCCAGTCAGGGCACATGCCTGGGTTGCAGACTCCATCCCCAGTAGGGGGCGTGCAAGAGGCAGCCTATCAATATTTCTCTTTCATTGATGTTTCTATCTCTCTCTCCCTCTTCCTTCCTCTCTCCCTAAAATCCATAAAAACATATTAAAACAAAACAAATTAATGGAGTCACTTTTGAAATAACTCTATTGATAGATATTGCTCCTGCCAGGAAAAAAAAAAATTCAGTGGTGGGAAGGAGATTTTCCAATAAAACTGAAATTAGAAGAGAAGATGCTCAACCTGTTTTAGAGCTTCCTTGAAGGGAATTTTCAACATCTGATAAGAAAAGTCTCTGTCTTTACTCCAACCATAGAGATACTCACCAAGGGGTAGAGCTCGGGTCAGGTTAGCAGCTGGAGGATCTGTTTCTGGAGGACAGAGTTCACAGAAGTCCCAACATGATGGGCAGAGCAGGTTTCCATCGTGAATCCAGCCGTTCATGTGAATACTAATGAAGAGGACCTGCCCGGCTCGACTACACAAATATGAAGTATTCTGGACCCAAACCTTTAGACCTTGTGGAGAACAAGAAACCTTTAAACAGAGAGGAAAAAATCAGATCCGTAAGTATACTGGCTTCCTTCATCTGCAGGAAAAGTTTAGAATTTACTAAAAATACTGGCTATAAAATATAATTTGGGATAAAAAATTTCAAATGATAAGTTCTTCTTCAAAGTTGTTTTCTAAAAAGACTTCATGTTAATTTCAATTATGCTACTTCACTTTAAATATTTCTAAAACTTCTTTCCTAGAACTATTTTCAAAGTAAATGCATGTTTCTGAAAATCTTTGTTAGTAGCTAATTTTTACTCTACAGGTAGATGAAATTTTTGGAAAAACTCAAAAGCTACTCAGAACTGAGTCTGGTAAAGGTAGTTGACTAAACTGGTTAACACTAGGCTAACATAGGTGTTATGCAAAGTACTAAAATTGATTTTCTTAAATGGCTATTAAACTAAAGGCAATTTCAAAAAAAGAGTTCAAAAAATGTATTTCAACAATGGAGTAGTCGTTTTTAAAATAACTATCATCAATTAAGTGTAAATACTCATTTGGAAATTTAAGTTATGAAACGCTTTTGAGAAAACAAACAACATAACCTGTAATTTAATGAGCCACATCTAATAAGTACCACCATAGGTATAGTGTAATGTAGTCATCTTTTAAGTGAACTTGATTTTTACGTTTTGAAAAGGATACCAAAGAACTTCACAACACAGTGCCTGCCCTCTACCAGCTTTGATGGAGGAGAGAAGGGAGGGATATCATTTTTTTATCCCATAAAGATGTGCATAGGATTTGGGTCAGTGAGGGACAGATATTGTGACCTGGTGGGTTGTGTCAGAGTCCGAATGGGTGAGGAGGGCAATCACATTGGGGAGTGGGAGAAGGTGAAAGAGGTGTGGGCAGATGAAATAGGACAACATATTGAGGATAATGAAAGCCATATTTCTCACTGTCAGAGAAAGGAGTTACAAAAATATAAAGGGAGAAAACCAAAATAAATCCTTTGGTGTTAGATTGGAATCAAAGATACTGATGCAAACTCATGGTTATATATTTACACATGTATAAGCAATATATATAAAAATTAGATAACACATATTTCCCAGCTCTGTTTACCAAGAGGGCCTGGAGAGCAGCTATATTTCAATAGCAATGAACCATTCACCTAGCAACTAGATCTTCGTTTCTAAATACCATACTCTACTGAAGAAACTAGAGCTCTTAAGAGAAATGGTTGATTCTAGGTGGGAGCAAAGAAAGTAAATATAAACCCAGAATATCTTGGGCCAGAAAGCCAGGAAATATTAAAAGAAAGATGAGGACAGGCTAAAGAACACAGGGACCAACCTAAAGGGGCTCCCCCTGGCCAAAGCTGGAGCAACTTGAATATCAAAATAAGTAAAGATAGTAATGGTAATACTCAATATTAAATGGAATCCATGAGTCAAAACGAATATAAATACATAAATAAAATGAGAATCTGATAAGAAATAAGTTATTAACATAGTACCTTCCCCCAATACTTATTAATTACAAAGGTAATTAATTAAAACAGAAAAGAATAACTTGTCTGTAAACATGAGCATCACTTCTGTTATATTGCAGCCCCAAACCCATTACCTAAATTTAATGAAACACCAGACATCTTGTCTAGAACTAGCTTGTAATCTTTAAAAATGCAAGGTTATGAAAGCCAAGAAAAGTTGAGGAATTCTTCCAGATTGAAGAACAGAGACATAACACCTATAAAACATGTGAGATTAGTACAGATCCTACTGCTACAAGGACATTGCTGGGCCAATTGACAAAACTTGAATGGGGTTGAAGAATTAGATGTATCAATATTAATTTCCAGATTTTTTGGTAGTATTGTAGTTATGTAGAAGATATCCTTGTTCACAAGAAGTACACATTAAAATATTTGGGACTGAATGGGCAATATGTCAGCAATTTATACTTAAAAATTTTTTTGTACCATTTTTACAACTTTTGTCAAAATAAGGAAAACAACAAGTTAATCCATATGTAAAATACTTGGAAATCATACACACTTTCCCACATAAATGGTGTTAATATTAAATTAGCAAAATTAATTAACAATATTAGGTACAGGGAAGCCAAGCTACATTCAATCTTTATGGCTGGTATTTCAAATCTGCATAATCCCTTTGTGGTAGTGGTAGTGTTGCTAAATCATTAAAATAGGCTGAAAGGGTCTTCTGCCTATTATAGTTGTCATTGTTCTAGCTTTATTCCTTTAACCTAATATTCTCACTTAAAGGAATTTATTTCAACAAATAAATTTTTAAAAGGTAAAATATGCAAGTATACTTACAAAAGCATTTTTAGATACAAAATATAACAAGGAAGTGACTTCTCAAATTATGATGATGCAATGTTCTACAGCTATAAAGAATAATAAGTATTATTACTGGAAAAACTTAGAAAGGGTGTTTTGCTCTGCATAAAAAGTATTAAGTGAAGGAATTAAAACAAAATTATGCATTATGGTCAAAACTATGTATGTAATCTATATATATAAAAGCCTAAGCGACCAACACTGGTAGCTATTATGCGCACTGACCACCAGGGGGCAGACGCTCAATGCAGGAGCTGCTTCCTGGTGGTCAGTGTGCTCCCATAGCCAACTTCCCACGGCCAGCCAACCTCCTGTGGTCCTTCCCCCCGCTGGCCAGCTTCCATCAGCCCAAATCACTGGCCAGGCCGAAACACCCCACCCGTGCATGAATTTGTGCACTGAGCCTCTAGTCAATACATAAATCTTTAGTGGGATTTATCAGAAAATAGGTAGTGGATTATAGTTATCAGATTATAGATAGAAAGTCTTTGTTTTTAATGATCTTTTATAAGGTTTCAAAGATAATTTTATATGTAAACTATCCTATATAATAAAAGCCTAATATGCTAAGTGCTCGGTTGTCTAGTCGGCCATTCAACCAATTAAAGCATAATATGCTAATGATATGCTAAGGCCGCTCAACTGCTCACTATGACGTGCATTGACCACCAGGGGGCAGATGCTCTAACTGGTAGGTTAGCTTGCTGCTAGGATCTGGCTGATCAGGACTGAGCGAGACAGGCTGGACACGCCTTGGAGTCCTCCTGTGGTCCCTCCCTGGCTGGCCAACTTCCCATGTCCTTCCCTGGCCCAAATCGTGCACCAGTGGTGTCCCTTGATCTGGTCTATGCCCTCTCACAATCTGGGACCCCTCAGGGGATGTCAGAGAGCCGGTTTTGGCCCGACGGTGGACCGACCGGTCGCTATGACGTGCACTCACCAGGGGTCAGATGTTCAATGCAGGAGCTGCCCCCTGGTGGTCAGTGTGCTCCCACAGGGGCAGTACTCCTCAGCAGAAGCCAGGCTCACGGCTGGTGAGCATAGCGGCAGTGGCGGGAGCCTCTCCCACCTCTGTGGGGAGCGGGCCTAAGCCAGCAGTCAGACTTCCCCTGAGGGCTCCCAGACTGCAAGAGAGCACAGGCCGGGCTGAGGGACCCCTCTCCACTCAGTGCACAGATTTTGTGCACAGGGTCTCTAGTATCTCAATAAAGCTGTTACTCCAAAATGATTAATTGTATAAGAAACTTAAAAATATATAATATTTAAATGTCCAGCTACAGAAGTCTGTTCAGCTCTTGCAGCTGAAATAGTACAATGTATCCTGATTTTTCATTTTCAGGAGCACACTCTCCACCTTGACATCCATTAGTAGGGTATGGGATATTCCTTAAGTTCTGCTCCTAAGTTACAGAATGCCTGTGTCTCAATATGTTTCTAGTATGGTAAGGCATTCATTTAATATCAGGCATGCATATAAGATAAAGAAAGTAGTAATTTGCTCCCTTTGGATTTCTATTTTCAAAGGAGAAAATAACTATTATTAATCAGTAGTTGATTTATTAATTCTTAAATCTATACTTTCTGCAGATCTTATGAAATAAAATTGTAAATTTTTTCTATTCAAAGTAATAGCTATTGAAGAAAGAATTATCTATTTTCCATTATTTCCTCAGGCTATATGCCCAGAAGTAAAATTATTATAAAAGTTGTTGATATATAGCAATTTTATACACACACACACACACACACTAGTGGCCCGGTGCACAAAATTCATGCAGGGGTGTTCCTCAGCCTGGCCTGCACCCTCTCCAATCTGGGACCCCTTGAAGGATGTCCTACTACTGGTTTACAGGGATCGGGCCTAAACTGGCAGTCAGACACACCTCTCACATTCCGGGACTGCTGGCTCCTAACCACTCACCTGCCTGCCTTCCTGCCTGATTGCCCCTAACCACTCTGCCTGCCGGCCTGCTCACCCCCAACTACCCCCCTTTGCCGGCCTGATTGCCCCCAACTGCTCACCTCCTACTGCCCCCCCTCGTCGGCCTGATCACCCTCAACTGACCTCCCCTCCTGGCCTGATTGCCCCTAATCACCTCTGCCTCAGCCCTGCCACCATGGCTTTGTCCAGAAGGACACCTGGAAGGTCTCCTGGTCTAATTAGCATATTACCCTTTTATTAT